TTAGTCATCATCCTTATTGGTTTGATAAATGGGTGGATGTTCCAATTATGTAGAATGCTTCCCATCACTACCATAGTCAATACAACACATACTCAGTTCCCTGGCTGTATGCACGAAATAAATCTGCGTATTGGCACTTCCACCTCATTGCTGTATTCTTTTACAGACTCTTAAATTGTGTGGTAGATTTTTGTAGTTAAATTTATTTATGTACCAGTATTCCCACGATAAACTCTCAAATGCTTTTAAAGGATACTTCACAAAAAACAATGAATTACATAACTTTAAATAATACTAGGAATGCAAATAAATATATCACAATAAATTCTAACCGAACATCAACCAGGAATTCAATAATACATTCAGGCCCCCCTATTATGGAACTCCCTCAGCACATCACTAACAAATTTGAAAAGTAGTTACTCATTTAAATCAAATATAAATTGTTCATCATATCTAATTAGACTTTAGCTCCACTAATCTTCTTTATCTAATCATACTTGTGTCATCCTATCCAATCCCACTTTATCTTCTTTCCCTTATCTACCTTTATAATGTTCAAATCAATGTATATTTCATTAAAAAAAAAAAAAAAAAAAGGTTTTTCCTTTTGTCTTGTTTTGTCTTGTCTTTGATCCTGGAACAAATTACTTTTTAATTTTTCTCTGGTGGAGCCAGCTGTAAAGCCATTTGGGCTTATTTGACCTTTCCGGACACAATTGCATTTGATTTTGTTTGCATCTTATTAGCACCATTATGCATTGTGTGAATAAATATGAATCTAATAAAAAATATATATATGAATCTGAATGTCCTACTTCAGTTTGTGGTGCAAATGCAATAGATCTTTCTCTTGTGCTTCAGAGCCTGCATCTAGTCAGTCTACTCAGGTTTCTGTTTGCATTGCAGGGGTGAATTCAGTCTTTTTTAAAGCCAGGCTCCAGAAAAAACAAATATGTTGTACAATTGATGGCAGTACAGAACCCCCATGTATTTTTTCACCCCATAAGGCATGACTTTTTTTTTATACCTTGATTAGCGAAACCCTGAGCATTCCTCACTGTAGCATTAACATAAAACGCAATATTTATCCCTTAAATCGTTTAATCACAGAAAAAAACAATATAAAAAATAATAAATGAACTAAAATTCCATCATATTAATCCCAATTTATCTTACAAACTAAATATACAAATATCATTACATTGAATTATTTACTGTTGCTAAATGGATGATTATTTTTTACCAATGATAAAAAATATAAACTACAAAGGTTTATATTAAATAAAATCAACATTCATTACAAAACTAGGAACAGATGTTTTCCATTGGGTTGAGTTTATTGTGTAAAATTCAGAGATACCACACACAATTTAAAGGAAAATATAGTTATATCAATGCAAAATTAAATGTTACTTGCTTAGTCAATAGCTGGGTCTTTCTACGTTAAATACTCCAATAATGTAATAATTGTCCGATGGGTTGATATTATTGTGTAAATTTCATGATATGGCACAAAAGAAAAAGGATTTAAATTTAAAAAAAAAAGCAAGTTAAATTGCATGATATTTCTTTAATCAGTAGCTGGAGCTTTTTCTACATAAAATTCCCCATAATCTTCACTTACACCACTATTTACAATGATGCAGGGTTTTTGAGGTGTTGAGCCCGACACTTCAGTATTCTCCACTTTGCGTATAACACTCTAAAATTGAAGAAAAGAGAAAACAGTTGGTTTATTTTCTGTTACTAATGGAACTGTGTTTTATTAAAATTATAACTTCTTCTGTTTAAACTATGTTTAAGGACCACCAGGAGTGGATTTATAGGGGAGAGGGGGAGCGGTCCGGCCCCAGCACCACTCCCACCCACTTTTTGGAAAGTCAAAAAAAAAAAAAAAAAAAGAAAAGAAAAGAAAGGAAAGAAAGAAAAAGAAAACAATGATCGCCCAAAAGGCATAGAGGTTATTTTTGGGCGTCAAGAACACAGAAATTTTGCAGGGGCATGTCCCCGGACCCCCTATGATATTGTTATCTTGATCGGCCCCAATTTTGGTATCTCTTCCGGGCCCCCTTTTGGACATCTCTGGATCCGCCCCTGACCACAATACTAAAAAGTTACCGTAAATTGTCTTATTTATCATTACTGTAAATGTTAATATTTTGACTTCAGGAATAGTAAATTGAATAAAATTGTTAATAGGATAGTGGATATTTATTTCTTTATCAACAATATTTTGTGAGGATAGTCCATCAAGTCAGAGCTAATCAACTGGAACCCTCAGTGCAATTTCCTTAAAATAACTTACCATTCCTTTGACAACTTTGCCAAAAACAACATGTTTTCCATCAAGCCAAGGGGTTTTGACTGTGGTGATAAAGAATTGTGAACCATTTGTGTTTTTACCAGCATTAGCCATACTC